GTTGGCTCCCCATTCATTGGGTATTCCAAATAAAGTGAAGAGATCATCTCCAGCAATTTACCCTTGAGTTCTACATATGCAGCCATATGTTCCAAGCTTTCATGATTGCCCTATATAAGATCTTTAAGTGTCCAATGGGAATTCACAAAGTGTGCAGGTATCTAACCAAAGACCATTAAATAAGATGTTTTTGCACTGTGGCAGTGTGGGTAAAGGAAATAATTAACTCTCAAGATTCAATTTTGGGTTGCTGCTTTTCCTTCGAAATGCTAACAAAATAAACCCGTTCTTTTCTATATTTACCCTGCTTTCAAGTGTATGTCAAACACTGCTCAAGTAAATTAACACACTGCAGTGCAGTCAACTTCATTCATAGAAATTCAGATAACAGAACAAGTAGCTCAAGTGCAAACAGTCCAAAGAAGTGTTAGAGAAGCTGTATTTAGGGAATAAGAGTATTTAAAAAACACAAAAAAAAATCCAAACCATTCAAAATCACCTCTTTCTCCTTTTAACCCTCTACTTCAACTTGAGTAAGACTGTTAAGTGTACTCATTCTAAGGACAGCAATGGATGGGTGTTTGCTACACAAATAAATATAGAGTTTTGTGTGATTGCTGGCTGAATTTGCTTTCTTCGCTAATCCGTACTGGAAACTCCACTGTGAACAAGGCACTTCTGAGAGCACAAAAAGCTTGAAGGATTTGTGTATCTTTCAGGATGCAGTGCAAACAACTGGCTTACAGTAGGCCACCAGGAGTTGAGGGAGCAAGGGGTAGCAATGTCTATTCACTTTTCTACAAAACTCTTATGTGCTTGGGAAAAAGACTGTCCGTGTAAAAGATGCACCTTGGAATGCGTGAAGGGTGATTCTACGATACTAACAAACCCCAAATTAATCTAAAATTAGAATGCCTTGGAACAGCCTTTTTCCTAACATCCTGATCCTAAAAAGCAATGCTAACAATGTGGCAATGCAGTATGCCGGGCCAGAAATTGAGTATTTGAAAATAAAGTACTGTAAAAGCACAACATTATTTTATTTATGAGTGATTTCCTTTGATTGCAGCTGTATGCACTCTTTGTTGGGAGCAACACCCCTCATAGTAGGATGTCTGAGTAAAGAAGTATAGGATTGGGCTGTAAGGCTGCAGCCCTATCCATGACTTCTTGGGACTAAGTCACATTGAATTCAAATTGCCTTATTTCAAATGGACGTGCATAGGATTGGGCTGCACATCTCAGGTTTTAAAAGGCCGGACTGAACCAGCTATGCAGCTCCATCTCTGCTGCCATCACCTTTACCTTTCCTTCCAGTGGCTTAAAACCTACTTCTTTATCTTGGCTTTGCTTTTCAGAATAAATGTCCTCTTCCCTTTACCTGTGCCATGTTTGATTATAAGTCAGCAGACAGATCTCTCCTTTGAGTTTACCCACATACGGCACCCAACCCACAGTCAGGTGCTTTTTAAACAAGTAACTAAATAATTTTAAGAAATCTGAATTAAGGGGGGAAATACTGTCAAGTATATCAAATATTTCATTCTAATTTATATTGACAAAAAGTATCTTCTATACCGTTTGTTGCTATTCAAATTTTGTTTAGCATAAGCAAAAGGCAATTGATTTCTGCAATCATTTATGATAGCATTTCAAACTTTGTCACATTAAAGGCAGATATAAATTCTAGAATGGTTTATTTTAAACATTTACACCCCACCCTTTCTAAAATGGCTCCAGTTGGCTCAAATAAGGATGCTTCTCAAGATTCTTCCCACATAAAACAGGCTAAGAATTTGACACCAGTTGCTTAGCAGATGCCCGCACAGCTTTTCATAATAAGGTGGGAAATATCCTCCAAGTTGCCTCTAGATTTTAATCAGAATGATCACTTTTAAATCAGCATCATCAGATTTAAATAAGTGTTATGTCCCAGCCTTCAGCACACATACCATATACACAAATGTCCAGCTGCAACCATTTTTTATCCATATGAATCCACCCAAACCTACAATCCTTTTGACGCATGAAGAAATAAAGACATTAAAAGGAAGTTGGAAAGAGTCCCCGGGATATGTTTCCCTATGCAGTACAGTGGTTACATTTCTGGGCACTTCAAAGTTCTGCGCTTAAGGCAACAACAGGATTCAGCATCAAGTGAATCTTCCCCCACACCTTGCTTTAAAGATTATCTCTTTTACAAACACACCCCAGAGGATTGAAAAGTTCACCAAAGAGAAACAGTTCAGTATAAGTTGATTTTCTGTCTTTTCAAAATTATGGGTGGGTTGTCAAATTGGAAACTTGCCTTATTTTTTAATTGCCCCACAAAAAGTTCCACTGTGGGTAATTTGTTAGATTATATATATATATATATAGCCAGATGTGAAGTTATACTCAATATGCCATTTATGTTGAGGGCAAGTCAAAGTTTGACAGGTGTCAAAGTTTCCTGGCACTCTGAACAAAATATAAATAACTCCAGGCACATATCAAGATATATATAGATATATTAATACAAAACCCCAACGACTACCGCTTGAGCAATATGCAACAATCAACATGAATTTTATAAAGCTGTAAATGATGTACTATATATCTAAAAGATTTCCTTTTCCAGGTGAAAGTAGGCAGCACAATTTGTTTTCCTTGCAGCAAAATGTAGGTAAATTTGTTTTTAAGCCCCCCCATAAGGTTCTCTCTTAAATCTAAGGTAGCTAGAACAAACAGATCAAATCAGTAAGTCTTTGCAAGAAATCAGTCTTTTCCACGTCTGTATATTTTGGATTTCACCGTTTATTTACTCTACTCTTTTGGCACTGGGTCGGTGGGACATGCCAATACAATATTTGTTTAAATGCTATTTTATGCAGCATGCGAGTGCAACGTTTACTTTCAAATTCTTGGACATCCCCAGAGACCTCTATTGCATAAAAAGGAGAGAAAGTTTTACAACTGCTCTTTTTATCTGTAACAGTCAATAATACACAAACTTCAAAACGCTTCAGCTGTGGAAAGGGTACCCCAATATGTGCAGGTTTTGAAAAACTACATAAAATAAGAGAGATCATAACAGACTATGTGCATTGTCGATTATTTTTTTAAAGGGTAAGGAACCGATGTATTACTTTATGCATTTGCATTTTACTTTTATTTAATGGGCACAATCCAGCCAAAGCTCTCATCGGATACAACTTCATTTACTTCTGAGTAAAAATGCATAGGATTGTGTTGCTAAGCTGCTGTTCTACACATACATTTCTTTGGAAGTAAAACTAACTGAACACAGCGGGACTTAACTTTCAAGTAAACATGTATTGGGTTGCACCACACCTCTCATTACAAGGCAAATGCCCTATGCATTTAGAGTGCTTCTCTTTGTGAGGATCTTGGCCATAGGGATCTCCCTCTCATACATCCACACACAAAGCTAAAATCCCCCTACAACTGAAGGCTTATCTTGCCAGTCTCTACACCCCTTAAGAGTGGTGTTTTGATGGGCCAGTGCAATGTTATTTTTGTGGCGCTTGCAATAAAAGGTGACCAACAGTCTATTAAAAGTCGTCTTGTGCTCTCAGTGAGTTACATTGAGGAATATCCTAACAACTTTACACTCTCACGGACCATAAGCAGCAAGAACATTGCAGATCCTCAGCACCTATCTGGATGAGTGCTACAGCTCCAAAGGGTCCCTGTAATCCCCCCCACCCCAGGGATAGCTATGTGAAACTTCTGCATTTTTTCCACCCTTTCCAAAGTTGTTATTGGCTATATTCTTTATCATGCTGCCTGAAAACCTCTACATTGACTCCCCGTGCAACTTGGATGGAAAGTGTTCAACAGGCCAAACAACACATCTTTAATGCCAGAATCTGAACACACACAAGCATAATAGTTTGAAACTCAGGTAACTATTTTAGGCAAAGGTGCACCTGGAAAATCTCAACAAATGACAGCAATTTAGTATGTGTGGAGGGTTTCTTTTGGGGGGGGGCAACAAGAAAAACAAGAAGAAAGGATTCCCTCCCTCCTTCCACAATTGTCTTCAAGCCTTTGAGTTCTTGGAGGGGGGGGTAAGCACCCCTTCAGCTCTCCAAATCCTTAATAGGATTGGCGCCCAGCTCACTCCATGCCGCTCCCCATCACACAGGGATCAAGTTGCAGGGTGGATTTTTGAAATTCCTTCGCAAATATACTTGCCGAAAGATTGCTTTGGGAAAAGGGGGGGGGGATGGATAAGTGGCCAGAGGGAGACACTTGCGAGGAGTTACCGTAAGTCAAACCGAGGAGCCTCTCCTCTCTCCCTGTAAAAGATTTTAGGGAATGGCGCGCACACAAAATTTAAGTTGCAAATAAGTGATCACCCACTCCCCGTTATAATCGCAGGCTCACAGCCCCCGCCAGGTTACCGTCTTGTTTCTGGAAAATGCCTATACACGCATCCCTGAGGGATTGGTATACACACAGCGAGAGAGAGAGAGAGAGATGCACGTAGGATATCTGGCTTATGCGTAAGATACCGCTATGAAATATCCGCGCCACGCTTTGCAGTCCAAAAGGTGTGCAGCGGGGAAAAGCAACCAACACCGCCCGTCACATGTTCGCCAAACTCCTGGAAAGTTGGGGCGCGTGGGTGGGAGCTGCAGGGAGTGGAGCAGGGCAAGGAAAGCCGCTTCTTGTGGAAGGAACTGACTCCCACCCAGGCACCCCCGCGCCCGTCTTCCGCGGAGATGGGAGATTTCAAATCAACAGATACACAAGGTTGGGGGGGGGGGAGGCGGAGGAAGGCGAGGAGAGAAAGCAGGACGGATCTCCCCAGAAGGAGCGACAGCCTCACTAGTATTGGGGCAGCCCCCACCTTTCCCACCACCCACGCACCCCCGTGGGGGAGGAATTCTCCCAACATTCCAAGCCGAACGTTGGTCAATCTCTCATCTGGGGCTGCTCCTCCCCTCCTGCCTAGTTGTAGCAGGAAAGTCAAGGCACCGCCACAGTTCCTGAAAATGCATCTCTCTCTCTCTCTCTCTCTCTCTCTCTCTCTCACACACACACACACACACAGAGAGAGAGAGAGAGAGAGAGACAGAGAGAGAGGACACACGTGCGCAGGTTCCCTGCTTCAGATCAATCAATCCACAGCGGCACCGACCCGCCTGTTACCAACTTTTGCCGTCACACCCACCAAGGAAGGGGGGGGCGGCGGCGGGAAAGAGCGCGCGGACCCCCCTCGTCTGCTCCAACACGCAAACAAACACACTTTAACGGGTGTGGGGGGAGGCAATCGACACTTGAAGGACAGTCACCTCTCTTTAGAATCCCAAAGCATTCCAAAATGTGGGGGTGGGGAGGGGGAGGGAAACGGAGGGAAGCAACTTTACCCAAAGAGAAGTTTGTTTGCTTTTTCACAGGGCCAGCGGCTGCTCCGGCTCCAGGAGAGGGCTGCGAATCCAGCGCCCCATCGTCCACTTCAGGGCTTGGGGAGAGGGAGGGAGGGAGGGAGGGTTGTTGCCGCTTGCAGTCCTTTTGTGCGTCGTTTTCTACCCCTTCTTGAAAAGCGGGAGTTGCTGCTGTTGATGGTGCTGCTGCTGCCGCCGCCGCTACCAAAAATCCCGGCTGGAGCGCAAGCTTCCCCTTTCTCCTCCTCCTCCTTCTCGAAGGCTCATTGAGAATCGTCCGGGAAAGGGAGAGAGGGAGAGTTCAAAAAAGTGCTGGGCGCTTCTTCGGCTGCCGCCGCGTTTCTGCCCTCCTGCCATCCATCATCCCAACGTAGGACATCCCCGGACGCGCACGCTCGGGGAGAAATTAAGGAACGCAGCAGGGGGAGGAGAGCGCGCGAGAGCGGAGGGTTCTGCTTTCCCCCCCAGCACTATCGCCGCCGCCGCCGCCGCCGCCGCCAGTGGAGGAAAGTTAAAAAAGAAAGAGGAGGTGGAGGGGGAAAAGAAACTTTTCCTCTCTCTCTCTCCCACACTTCAAAATCCAGTTGGGGTTTGTTAACTCAAGTCAGATGATCTCCGGAGTCCAAATCCATTGACTGATCTGTTTTCATTCTAATCCACGCCTGCGCCTCCTGTTTCTCCCCGCCCTTCGTCAATTGCACCATGAGCTGTTCCAGATAGGCTGGGATCTCTCTCTCTTTCTCTCTCTCTCTCTCTCTCTCTCTCTCTCTCCTTCCGCTTTTCCTTTTTCCTTTTCCACATAACCGAAGTTGGAAGCGGGACGCAGCTAGTGGGGTTGGATTGGAAGGAGCAGAGAGGTGATCACAGCTGGGCAGGTTGATCTCTCCTAAGGGATGCAGGTGATGAGTGTTAAGCACACACAGCTGGAGACTTCATATGCACACAACCCATAAACAGGCACACCTTTTAGCTCCTGTGTCAGGAAGGGTCTTGCCCAAGTAGGTATTAGCTCTGGCTACTTGGGAGCCCACCATGGAGTAACATGTGAAAGGCAACAGACTGACCAAGTGGTGCATGCCTGTAGTGGCACAGTGGCTGCTGAAATGAATTCTGTGCAGGGCAGGCCCTCCAGTTAGGCAGAGTGGGGCAGCTGGCTCAGTCAGAGAATGCTGGTGTGGGACGGGGGAGTCTGTTTGCCACAGTTTCCCAACACTACCATCACCTGCCCAGCCATTCCTTCTGACTCCCATGTACTCCCTTCTGCTGGATGGCAATTCCATGTGTGCCACATTGCTTGCTCTGCACCTGCAGTTATGGTGGAGGATGCTGCCCCACCTCCATTTCTGAAGTGAGAGGAGAACATCAGATGAAAGTAAGCCCTGCTGGATCAGGCCAATGGCCCATCTACTTCAGCATCCTGACCTTACAGATGGCCTATGGGGAGCCTGAAAGGAGATGCCACTTATGATACCCAGCAATTGGCATTCAGAATGATACTGCCTCTGGCACCTGAAGGAGGACATAGCTATCATGGCTAGTAGCCATTTATAGGCTTATCCTCTATGCTTTTGTCTAAAACCCTTTTAAAGTCATCCAATGTGGTGGCCAGCCTGTGCTGGGCAGTGGCAGCAGGGGGAATTTGTCCAGAATCTCCCAACATTCGGTTTCAGCTAATGGTGCCAGGTTCAAGTGTTATGAGACAGGGAGAAAAACTCTACCCACTTTCTCCAAACTGAATAGTCTTTTACACCATTATCATGTCCTCTGCTTTACTTTCCTCCTCCTAAAAAGCCCACACATTTTGTATCATTTCCTCGTAGCAGAGTTGCTCTAGCCCATATCATTTTTGTACTCCTTTTCTGAAGCTCTATAATTCAAGAGTCAAATACCAATCCATTCAGTTTCTATACAAGGAATGAAGGGTGTGTGTGTGTTATCTTGACCTTTGGTAGTAAAATGTCTGTGTTGCTGGAACACCACACGGAATGTGTGAATTGGCCTTCCATGAGGAGTGGCTGATCCCGTTATTCCATACTCTCATCAAAGCAGAATTTCCCAGTCATGAGCCAGTGGTGTTGGCATGGGTAATTAACATGCAATCCGGAGATGGGGAACCTCAGGTTTGCAGCCAAATGTGTCCCTTCTGGTGCCTCTGTCTCTTCTCATCCCCAAGCCACACCCTGAACAGTCCTTCCTTAAGTGCTTTTGCCTGGCTTGACCTGTGATAAATGCATTTTTCTTGCTAGCTAGAGGATGTGTGTGTGTGTGGTGGGTGTATATAAACCCAGTGCTTTTTGGGGGGGAATGCAGGGGTACGCATACCCCTAAACATTTTGTGAATCTATGTTTGCCCTCATTGAGGGTGCAGCATTTCAATATGAGTAGGGAAATGAAAGTACCCCTAAACTTTTCTATCTATATATATATATATATATATATATATATATATATATAGAAAAAAAGCACTGTATAAACCTTTGACTTGTGTAGCTGGAAGGTGTCCTAGTGTACAAAAGTAAGCCAGAAAGACTGATCCTCCCACTTTTTGCCTCGGCCCCACTCACTTTTTGCTTCTGGTCCCACCATCTACTGGCATGTGCTCCCACCCCAAGATTGCCCAGGAACTGATGTGGCCTGTGGACTGAAAAAGATGCCTTATCCCCCTGATGCAATCCAAGGCCAGTCCATATGGAAAGCTCACCCAAAAGGTTCTCAAAGACGTGCAGCACCCAAACCATATCAAACTGATTCATGGAGATTTCTGCCACTAGTAGGAAATGGTGAGCAACTGAGGAGCCAGATTAACACTTTCAGGTGGGGACCGATAAAGTGGCCTTTGATTTGAATGCACAGACACATCACAGCCCAGTGGAGATGGTCCATCGATGTCACTGGTGGAAGCATGGCTATTCTGGCACATGCCGCAGTTGTGCAAAGCTTTAACCAGTTTGTTGTGTGCCTGTGCAGCTTCACCTACGTAGCTATGTGAGATAGTGAGATGAGTCAGATGATAGAGCAAATTTGTTTTCCAACAGCGGAACAGACTGCCTCAGAAAGGGGTGGACTGTCCTTCATTAGATTTTGAACAGAGGCTGGAGGGCTTCCTATCAGGGATATTGAGGTAGCAAATGTCTTGTGCAGGTAGGCGGTTAGACTGGAAGATCCTTGTGGTCCCCTCCAGCTCTATGATTTTATTATTCTAATTCAATGTGAGCTGAACATGGGCTAAACTAATTATCCTACATCAAGTAGCGCAATGGGTCAGTGTGTCTGGCTGTTAACCAGAAGGTTGGTGGTTTGAGCCCACCTAGGGTCAGATGTGGGCAGGATTCCTGCCTTGCAGGGGGCAGACTAAATGACCCCCGGGATCCCTTCCAACTCTACAATTCTATGCTTCTATAGAGGCTGCAGATGGTGACGATTTGCTGTGCCATTTCTGCTGCAGCTTCACTGTGTGGAATTTCTTTATGATGCACTGTCCCAGCATAGCATGGGAAACCCAGGCCATCTTTCATACTGCGGATGGAAAGCACACAGAAAAAGGCCACTTTTCTGTAGTTGCTTTTCCAAGCTACCATGCTTACTGAACTGAAGTGGCCATAGGGAATGACTCTTACATAATTACTTTGAAGACAGAAGTAATGTTGTGTTTTCCTAAACAGTGAGAAAGCTTGGGGTTGTTTTACATTATCAGTGCCTAGTGGGAGATCAATGGATGTTTATGGTGTTTTATATATATATATATATATATATATATATATATATATATATATGTTTATTTACAGCTGTACAGGTTGAGCAAGTAAGAAGCACGAGCGTATAGTGACAAGTAGTCCCAAAGCAGTTTTTGCTCCAAATTAACAGCAGCACCCAAAACTGCAGTTCCCAAAATGGAGAACCACTTTCTTCTTCCAAGATTCTGATTAACCATTGCCCCTCATTAACCACTACAGGTTAATCGGGATTCTATTATTTATCATTCAGTGCCAGGTTCAAACAAAGATGGAAAGGGGATGCATCAGGTTAGCATTGCTATAATATTATTATATAATTGAATTCAACCCACTCCATTGTTTTTAAAGTTTGTTAGGTTGTTTTTAATACAGATAAATAATACCAATCAAGGTCCCCAACCCACCAGCTCCTTCCTAAAATCACCCACTCTCAGCAAATTTCCCTACCTGTTAATCTCTGAAGCCAGCATCTTCAACGTATAGTTCAACCACAGCATATTGACATTTCAGACTCTGGAGAAGTGAATACCAAGAAGTGATATGATAGCTATCTTCAAATATTTGAATGGGAACAAAGTTATTTCCTCTTGTTCTCAAGGGTATGACCTGAACCACTGAGTCAAATTACAAGAAAGAGGGTTTTTGGCTCAATAGGAAGAATAATTTACTACCTGAGAGAAGGAACTGTCCAACACTGGAACAGACTTCTTTATTAGATGTTTCTAAGATGGTCACCTCGGAGGGATGCTGAAGTTGCAGCAGTTTTCCTGCATCAGCAGGGATTGGACTAGATGTCATTTATGACTGTGGACACCCGCAAAGCATATTCAAAGCACATTCTTCCCTCAAAGAATACTGGGCACTATAGTTTCTCTCTTACAGAGTTACAACTCCCAGAAACCCGTAACAAACGACAGTGCACATATTTTGGAGGGGTTTTTTTTTGGGGGGGGAGGATAAATGTGCTTTGAATGTGCTTTAAAGGTATATAATGTACACACCCTGGTTCGCCAGAAGCAGCTTAGTCATGCTGGCCACATGACCCAGAAGCTGTACGCCGGCTCCCTCGGCCAATAAAGCGAGATGAGCGCCGCAACCCCAGAGTCGGCCATGACTGGACCTAATGCTCAGGGGTCCCTTTACCTTTACCTTTAACTGTTCAACAGATGCGTGGTTTGCTAGTGCAAGACCCTGTTTCACATCCCTGTAGCCTAGGGATGGGAAATCTGTGGCCCTCCAGATGTTTTTGGGCTACAGTTCTGTCATCCCTGACTACTGACCATGCTGGCTGGGTCTACATGTAGATGGAGTCCAACAACATCTGGATAGTCACAGGTCCTCAATCCTTAATTTAACTCCATTAGTAACTCACACTGGCTAATAAACAAACATATTGGGGAGTTTGAACTTTCCAACTATGGGGCATGTCTTCCTAAAAAAGGACAAGCGCTGGCCAAGCTGGTTTAGAATCCTTTCCAATCCCTTACAAACCAATGAATATGTATGCTTTTTTGTTTTTAAGAACAGCTTATTAAGACTTTTCATATCAACAAAAAGCAAGCAAACAAACACTATAAACTTGGAGCATATACACATATACATTTAGTTACAGCAGACATAAGAGCTAAACAAGCAGACATCAGAAAATCTCCCACAAATATACAATCTGTAACTCTAACAAATAAATACTGTGTGAAGCCATCAGGGAACCATCACAGAAATAATCAGCTAGCCAAGCAATAAAAAGACGACAGAATTAACTCAGTTAGCCTATTATAATATCACTCCATAAAGCCGCATCAGTTGATGGAGGAAGCCAATCATGCTCTTTGACTGAATTATATTTAATAAAACAACACAATTTCACATAAAACATATTTTTCTTCTCCTTGGATTCTTCCTTTCCCTCTGTTGAAAAGTAAGTTTTCCCATAAGGCCACCAATCAAATCTGAGAATACCACTCCTTCACCAAATTAACTGTTACTAATTCCCAGTTTGATGCTACCACCAAATGGGCCATATTTTTTTTTTTAAAGGAAGCTGATGAACTCTTATAAAGGATCTATTTGCCTCCATCATTCAAAATGGGCAACAGTGCCATAAGTGTATATGTTGTCAACAGCTGCCCTGTAATTAATTGGAGCTCCTGAAAAAACTTCTACCAAAACTTCTCAGTCATTGGGTAGGTCCATTACATGTGGTGAAATGTACTACCTAGACCTCCACGCACCCTCCAACAATTTGGGCTGGTAGTGTGAGTTATGTTGACCAAAGAGTTTTGGTCAACATTCTTTGACAAAGGCATCATACTGGATATATATATATATATATATATATATATATATATATATATATATAATTCTGCCTGGATCTATGAATATACTAAACAAATCAGTCTCTTAAGCTTAAGCTAAGAAAGAGTATTCTCTATAAGATTGAATATCAATATACGTATCAAGACTTTGAGATTAGACCACTGAAGAAGCCCGGAAAACTATCTTGGGAGTGTGCTACCTGCAAGCCCCAGTAAAAGGGCCCCATCGGGGACGAACAGCGGCCTCTTGATTACTTGGACTGCCAGGGCAAAACAGGTGCAAAACGCCGGCACCCTGTCGTGTACAACTTCATTAACATCTATCTACAACTCCACTAGCATCTCTCGGTATTGTGAATAACACCAAACCTACCTTTTGTTGGTATCTTCATGAACTTATCTAAAAGACTGAGTTAAGCATTTGAAAAATCTATTGAAACCAGACATTATAAGTTCATCTTAGGCTGGGTAGTTTGCAAGTCTCTGTGGCTTTGTTTAATGTTTTTCTCAGAAGGTTGATAAAGAATGTATAACTTATTATTCTGTGTATATTAATTGCCAACGTATTGCATGAGTCGCACTGGATCTATGTATATGCCTAGTGATTTTTTTTTATCCCTCTCTCATAATGCTAGAATCCATTGTCCTCCAATGAAGCTGAATGGTGAGACATTCAGAACAAACGAAATGCAGTACTTCTTCACACAGCGATAGTTAAAACTATGGAAATAACCATTGGAAATGGAGCAATAGCTGCCAACTCTAAAATGAATTTAAAGGGGAATGACAGAAACTCATGGAGGCCTATCAGTGACTACTAGCCAGGATGGCTATGTTCTACCTCTAGTGTTGGAAGGCAGTGTGCATATGAATAATGCCAGCTGCTGGGGTTCACAAGTGAGGAGAGAGTTCTGGTACTCTGGCCTTGTTTGTGGGCTTCCCATTGGCATCTGGATCGCTGGACTAGGTGGGCCTTTGATCTGATCCAGCTGGGCTCTTCTTTTACTCTTATGACAAAACGCAGATAAACAGAGGCCCCCAAAGGTGGTAATGGGGACCATTTGTACCTCCACTTGCTCCATTGACTGAGGACACAGTTCTGGGGACAAATGAAGCATTTCCATATTGTGCAATGGCATATTTGCTTCCAGGGGAACATTGTTCCCCCCTCTCCTTTTTCTTAAAATTTGTATTTTCATAGGATTGGAAAGGAAATAAACAGCAGCTTAATTCTCTGGCCAGAAGTTTGTGTTTGTGTGTGTTACACACACACACGCATTTACAAACTAACCATGACTAAGCCATTGACAGACTAGAGACATCATTTCCAGGGTATTTAAAATAAAATTGTAAATTGTAAATTAAATATTTATCGGATTGCAAACAACACAAGGGAGAAAATAAAAGTATATACAACCATTATGCCATTATTCCATGGCTCAAGCGATTACCAAATATTTTAGAAGGCTAAAACGAAGAAAATAAAAAAACAACCACTTACATAGTCCCTGCCATATAGTGTTCAATTTAACCAACAAATTAAAACTGCTTTTGTCTTACCTGTAGTGTTAAGGGTTTTCCACATTCACTCAATTTCCAAAATGCTGGGAAATTGCAGCTGTTAAGTTCCCACCCCTCACAACAGATGTACTGTTTGGGCAATATGGATGTGGTATAGTATCCCATACAGAGGTTAGTTTCAGCTTCACCACTTACTTGGAGCTGGATGGCTGTCGGTGGCAGAATGCTGGCCCTAAGCCCCGGAGCTGCCTGCCTGTTCATTTGGGCAGACCCTCAGACCCCATGAAACTAAAGCTGTCACATAAATGAAGCTCCCATTCCACATTACAAATACGCAACCGGCAACCAATACTGTCCATGCGGAATGCTAGAGTCGGAAGGGATGCGTGTACATTCACAGCCAAGAACAATATCTGAGCACGGTTGTTTCCTCTTTATGTTTACTTCATTCCAATGGGGCTTGTTTCTATTTTATTTATTTTTTCATGCATGCATATCCCACCCTTCTGTGTAGGAAAAAGCAGGGAGCCTGTTTAACTCAGACTTTTTGGGTGTTTTTTTTTTTAAATGAGTAGTTTCTTTAGCCTTCTCCTAAAGCCTTCTCCAGGGTGGCAGCTGTGGGCACACATGTTCCTGCAGAGACCTTCCTTGGTACCCAAAGGAACCCCTCACCCCAAAATAAATTACCGTATTTTTCACTCTATAAGACGCACCAGACCACAAGACACACCTAGTTTTTGGAGGAGGAAAAAAAAA